GGTATAAAAAGGTGGTTATCTACCTGATGCAAGTAGCAACACATAATTAATTTTTACTCTTTAAAAAAAAAAAATGAATCCAGAAGGAACCACCTTTCTCTAATTTTAGTTCAAGCTGATTTCCACAATAATTTATGGAGATGGTCAAGTTCCAACAACGGTGCCAAAGGAGTCCAGACATTTTATTTTTAAGATACCGCCAACTGCAAAAAAAAAAACAAATCCCCTGAAATGTTGCTGGGTCTGTTATAAAAAAGGAAAAGGACAGACACCCCTTTGCACTGTTTTTTTTTCTTTTGAAAGCAGCAAATTTTAGTTAGTCAGTTTCCTTCCCCCCAAATCTCCAATTAGATTCTTTTTGCAGGAGTTAGTTTAGAGAATGCTGCTAAAGGTGCATTTGATACCTGCACATTTGGTTAAAAAAGTTTTATGGTAGTAACATATAACTGGCTGGCCAAAACCAGATGACGTGTGCATAAAAAGCAGAATTAAAAAATTACCACCATGCACGTTCTCTGAAATTTGTTTAGCACAATGGTTGGGGGAAGGATGTGAAAACACCTCATATACAATACTCTGGAATGTCTACTTTATAAAAATATAAACTTTCATGATGTTAACATTAATGGGGGGATGCAAAAATATGCCAAACTGAAGATAGGCCAAGCATACCTATATATCAAGTTGAAAAACTGATATGTACAAGTCTTGAATGTGGCCTTTTAGCCCCCAAACAACCCAGCAAACCTATGCATGGGTGATGTCACTGTACTCAGGAGATGTTGCTGAACACATATTGGGGTGTTGTTTGGCAGTGATACATAACAGGATCTGTTAATTCATGCCTAAAGTACAATGTATGTGTAAAAAAACATGAAGAAAATTACTACCCAAAAGTTTGCCAAAGGCTGGTGGTAGAATTATTGCATGAAAAGTATTAAACTACCACCATTTAAAATACCCTGAGTTGTCTACTTTTCAAAAATATATGGTTTGATGGGGGTAAAATACATTGGCCCAAATAGGACAGGGGCGCTGGTTTACTACATGTCAAAATTCCAAGTTGAAAAATGGATATGCGCACCTGCCAAATGTGGCCTTTTAGCCCCCAAACAATCCGACAAGCCTATGCATGGGTGGTATCACTGTACTCAGGAGATGTTGCTGAACACATATTGGCATGTTGTTTGGCAGTGACACATAACACGATTTGTTAATTCATGCCTAAAGTACAATGTGTGTGAAAAAAAACACACAAAAATGACTACCTAAATGTTTGACAAAGTCTGGTGGTAGAATTAGTGCATGGAAAGTGTTAAAAAAAACACCATTTGAAATACCCTAGGGTGTCTACTTTCCAAAAATATATGGTTTGGTGGGGGTAAAATACATTGGCCGGCCTTACAAATGTCCCAAATAGGACATGTGCGCAGGTTGACTACATGTCAAAATTCCAAGTTGAAAAATGGATATGCGCACCTGCCAAATGTGGCCTTTTAGCCCCCAAACAATCCGACAAGCCTATGCATGGGTGGTATCACTGTACTCAGGAGATGTTGCTGAACACATATTGGCGTGTTGTTTGGCAGTGACACATAACACGATTTGTTAATTCATGCCTAAAGTACAATGTGTGTGAAAAAAAACACACAAAAATGACTACCTAAATGTTTGACAAAGTCTGGTGGTAGAATTAGTGCATGGAAAGTGTTAAAAAAACACCATTTGAAATACCCTAGGGTGTCTACTTTCCAAAAATATATGGTTTGGTGGGGGTAAAATACATTGGCCGGCCTTACAAATGTCCCAAATAGGACATGTGCGCAGGTTGACTACATGTCAAAATTCCAAGTTGAAAAATGGATATGCGCACCTGCCAAATGTGGCCTTTTAGCCCCCAAACAATCCGACAAGCCTATGCATGGGTGGTATCACTGTACTCAGGAGATGTTGCTGAACACATATTGGCGTGTTGTTTGGCAGTGACACATAACACGATTTGTTAATTCATGCCTAAAGTACAATGTGTGTGAAAAAAACACACACAAAAATGACTACCTAAATGTTTGACAAAGTCTGGTGGTAGAATTAGTGCATGGAAAGTGTTAAAAAACCACCATTTGAAATACCCTAGGGTGTCTACTTTCCAAAAATATATGGTTTGGTGGGGGTAAAATACATTGGCCGGCCTTACAAATGTCCCAAATAGGACATGTGCGCAGGTTGACTACATGTCAAAATTCCAAGTTGAAAAATGGATATGCGCACCTGCCAAATGTGGCCTTTTAGCCCCCAAACAATCCGACAAGCCTATGCATGAGTGGTATCACTGTACTCGGGAGATATTGCTGAACATATATTAGTGTGTTGTTTTGGCAGCAAGACATAACAGGATCTGTAAGTTTATACCTGAATTGCAATGTATGTGAAAAAAAACAAAAAAAACAACTATGCAAAGTTTGGCAAAGACTTGTGGTAAAATGGCTGCATAGAAAGTGTCAAAATATCCTTAGATGAATACCCTGGGTTGTCTACTTTAAAAAAAATATATACATGTGGAGTGTTTTCCAGAGATTTATGACAGATAATAGTGTTACAATGTCACTATTGATACATTTTAAAAATGTTTGTTTTGAAACCGCCATATCCTACTTGTACCTATAGCCCTATAACTTGCAAAAAAAAGCAAAAAAGCACGTAAACACTGGGTATTTTTAAACTCAGGACAAAATTTTGAATCTATTTAGCTGTTTTTTTCATTCGCTTTTGTAGATGAGTAAAAGATTTTTCAAGTAAAAGTCAAAAAACATGTATTTTTTTCAATTTTTCATCATATTTTTTTATTTTTTTAAAATTAAAATACATGAGATTATATAAATAATGGTATGTAAAGAAAGCCCCTTTTGTCCTGAAAAAAACAATATATAATTTGTATGGGAACAGTAAATGAGAGAGCGGAAAATTACAGCTAAACACAAACACCAGAAAAGTGTAAAAATATTCCTGGTCGCAAATGTACAACATCGCAAAAACAGTCCAGTCCTTAAGGGGTTAAAACTGTCAACACAAGAAAGGTGTAGTTTTATAGTTACATAATACATGGTTATTTACTAAAGTAAGAATTCAAGGTGAATTTCAAATGTAAGGGAGATATAAGTTGACAATTATCTTGCAATTTAAAGACAACTAAATTCAGTGAAATGGTCTGGGTCATGTCATTTTAAACCTACAATGTAAAACATTGTTTACATTGCAGGGTTCAAAACACCTCTTCCTAACAACCACTAGTCCACAACTGACTGCAACTCAATCCTGCAATTACAAGCTGCTGAGATCACTTATTGATCTCGCATCCCATATTGATCCCTTTTATAATGGCATATTACAGAATAATTACCACATCTTTAAGAGATGCGAGAAATAAAAATAGAATAATATGTATTTATGAAGGGAGACTCTAATCCCAAATTCAGCTGGCTATATGCTAAAGGTTAGCCAAAAAGGAAGTGAGGAGATGCCGGGGGATTAAATATCTTCAGCAGTATTTGAAAATTGGTATTATACCAAGAGGATTTAGGTTGGATAAACAACCTAAATATGGTTAGGAGGACAGTGGGTTTTTTTTGGTTTTTTTTTAAAGATGAAATGAGAGACTGGGTACATTTTCTTTCCAACATATGAAATTCTTTGTGGAATACCATGAAAAATCTTTGCATGAAATTGAAACAGAAATATGCAAAGTGCAAGCAAAGATGTGTAGTGAGATTAATGGGGAAGAAATTAAAGAAAATTATGAACAACTAAATACAAACATTAAAAAATTGGAGAGGAAAATATTGATATTAAGGAGAAAAAGTTGAAAACAGAAGATAACAACAATGTAAAACAGAGAGAATAAAAAAAAGATAGATGGGAAATTTTCCCCAAAAATAAAAAAGTACTCTAAAAGGAGGAAAGATATTTTCACACCCATTATAAACAGAAAATAAATATATGATCAAATAGTAGATAAAGCAACAGATCAGAGATAATTTAAGATACAAAAGAGAACAACTATAGAAAGAGAAAAAATAAGGAATATTAACTTGGGTCAGACATGGGTCAGATAATTCAATAAAAAAAACCTTTTTTTTTTTACGTTAGCAGTGTCCCAGACCCCTCTGAAAAGTAGGAGGATACAAATGGCTGTAGGAGGAATAAGGGAAATTAAAGGAGGGCAAAATCTCAGATTAAGAAATGATATGGTAGGTATTAGTATATATGGTATAAGGCATTTTTAATATTTCTAAACATGTAAATATGTGTCTAAAGCGCATTCCTTTGTAAAGGATTCAATACAAATGATAAGATGCAAATGCAAGGAGGATACCTATGGGTAATGTTTCATGTCACCTCCTTGTATACAGTTATAGACCACACGATAGAGATGGAACCAATTAAAGACGCCTTAGAGAATGATCCAGAGATGCATAGTATGCAAATCTAATTTTAAAGAGCATCACGTTTATTATATATTGATGTCCTAAATATCTGGGATTTTAGAAAAATGTGTAATATTTGTCCCTTGTAACCAAAACTGATTAAAATTTACAGCAGAAATAGATGAAAACAATAATTTAATTACTTTCATCTGACCTCATTTGTCAAAAATGTAAAAGTGAGCACAAGCCTCTTCTACTATTATCCCACAAGGGCCAAGGGCCAAGGGCCAACAGGTTCAAAAACCCATCGCATCATCCACATGAACAGAAGTCCAACAGCAACTTGTGGTGCTATACCATCAAGGCCTCCTCTTCCCTTACTGGAAAGGACTTGGCCTATATACCTACCTGGGGCTGGAGAAATCCCCTGCATGCTACCTACTTTACTGCGGTCTTTCATAACCTTGGGCACTTACACCAGGGCTTTCCAGAATTGGGCATCAGCTAGATGCACCAAGCTACCTGGATGGCACTTCTGCAACTCATTCTCGGAGACTGTATCTTGCTAATGCCATGGTGCTTTATCTAACATATTCGTGCTGTATCTAATGTATATAGTTATTCGTCTTGCAATGCTATAAGCTATCTCTGACACAGCACAGCATATGTAATTCGGGACCCAGTGGTTTCCTACTATTGTCACTATCATGTCTATTTGCCTCACACTATTTCCTGCTCAGACTACTGCTATGACATGGTTTGCCTTCCTGAGCATTACTCTATGATAAAATCTGTACTGTTTTCTCCAATGTCATAACTATGTTATTTTATGTTGACTTGACTGCACCTGTTTATGCTGTCGTGGCATAGCATGATTATTTGTACCCTTCTGCACAGCAAAAATAAATACATTTTAAAAAGGCAAATTGTGCGATATAACCTATTTTAAACTGAAGGATAGAAAATTTTATTGAGTATTCCAACTGCCATCACCCAAGTTGGTTTAAGAATATTCCCAAAGGTCATTTTTTTCAAAAATTGCACTGAAAGGGTAGATTTTAAAGAAAAGGTACAGGTTCTGAACAATAGTTTTCAAATAGACATCCTACATATCTCAGAACTAAAAGACAAACAGAAATTGAAAATTTAAATAGACCAAAATTGCTGAACCAAAGAAATTTGAGAAAGTCTCTAATACAAATATGAATACAGTATTTTTAAACTAATATAGGAGTAAGGCGAACCTGGTAAAGAGAGCTTTTAATAAGCACCGGCCCATATTAAAAAAAGATACGTTTAAATTAATTTAACCAGAAAAAACAAAAAAAATATAAAAGACAGAGAATTTAAAAATGATCCTTGCATTGAGCGTTTTACCAAAGGAATTTTTTTTAGGACAGACACCACATGGGAGTTTTTTTAAAAGGAAAACCAAAAGGTTTTTTAAAATGCGGTAATTGCAGAACCTGTAAATTTCAAGTCATAGACATTATTATTATTTTTTTTTTTTTTTAGTGTTCCTTTACCAGGGAAGTTTTTAAGATTAGCCATTTTATAAACTGTTAAATTAAGAATGTTGTTTACATTTTACAATATAAATGTGACATTCAACATATAGGAAAAATTACAAGAAAACTGCATGATAGATTTAGACCTTTTAATGGTACAAATAAAAAAAAAAGTGTTAAACACAGTGACCCTAGACACTAATAAATGCAAGGATTTTAATTGCAGTCAAATAATATAGATATGGATACATAAGGTAGGGAGGTACCCTGAAAACTTTAGCCAAGAGAGATATGGGGTGGATCTCTAATTTAGGTCTCAATACAGATTTGGATATTCTAGCCTTTTTAGATTGATTAGGTATTTTTACATATATATTTTACATGTAGTTTTTGAGCTTGCATTACTATTTAAACATTTTTTTTTTTTAGATTGGCCATTTGGATATGTTTAGGCCTATTTTATATACATATAAAATAGGCCTAAACATATCCAAATGGCCAATATAAAAAACTAAAATTATTTATATATATATAAATAAAAATATTTTTTGTTCATCATTATATATATATTTAATAGACCCAAATGGTCTATTTTGGTGCTAGAAAAAGGGTATTTCTTTTTAACTCAAATTTGACTTCATTAAACTTATAATCCTAAAATAATTGGGGGGGAGGGGGGGAGGGGTTGTACTATTTATTCCTTTTAAGGCAAAAAATATACAAATGAAAAATTACCCAAGACTGTAGAATAACCATTTGGAGGTAACATTATATTGAAATAATCTTCATAACCATTAAAATATATATTGCATTAAAATGTAATTTTTTTTAAAAAGTTGTATGCATAAACGTTATCATTTTTATGTTCATGTGTGTACAAATACCTATTATAACCACTGGAACACAGGAAAAAAATCTACTTGCACATTGCATAAGCTCACCCTGCAGGACAAAAAGGAAGAGTATTAAATGAACAAAAGAAAATCCTGAAAATATTTCTTTACATCAAAAATCATACTTTATTTTATGTATCGCAATACAATTTACATATTAAATAACACTATAATATAATGATTTGATATAGTTTTAGGGTGAAAAAAAATCAAAGTTACAAAAAGTATATAATTAAAAGTAAAATAGGAAACGCTGTCGTTTTGGAATGGGTTGATGGAAAAAAAATAAAAATCAATGAGCAACGGTCTATGGCTACTGCACCCACTGGTCAATTAATGAAAAATATATTTGTAATTGGGGAAAAAATATAAAGTCAACTTTCACAATCACTGCCCCCCCCCAATCAAAATGTTGACTTGTTTCATAAGGTACTTTAGTGTTAACCATTTAATTTACAATAAAATTGAATTATGTTTTCCACAACAAAAAGAAAAAAAAAAATAATGGGGGGAAAAAAAAAACAGCTGAAGCTAGAAAAAAATTAGCTTTATATGAAAATATAAAATTCTATGATTTATATACCATAGATACAAAGTTTTCAGAAGAAGCTTATCAAAGCAAGAAAGATATTTACATTTTCTAATGTGTTTTTCCCCTACTTTCTACATATGAAGGAAAACAATGAACAGACATGACAGCTTAGCACTATATATTAAGAAATTATACATGTTAACTATATTCATATGTCTTAACAAAAGTGTCACTACCCCAAATGTTGGAGAATTGTGACATATTATAAAACTGAATATCTCCTCTGTTGGAGACAAGCTTGTTTATTTTATTTTATTTTTTTTTAAATTAGTTATACATGATAGAAAAGGTGTCCCATTCGCAAAATATGTAACATAACACTAGATCATTTTAAAGAATAAGACATGAAAGCTATTTTATACAGGAAAGTCGTATTTTTAGGAAAATTGGTCAATGTATGAGAAGGAAGAAATTCTTCCACAGTGGATTAACAGCAAAATATTAAGATCAGAAAGTGCAAAAGATTATTACATACATAAATTACAAATAAGAAGGATAAATAAGTGAATTCATGTTTACTGAATTATCTCATCGTATACAAACAACTGGCACTATTTGCAAACTAACTTCATAATCCAGTAGTTATTAAAACTAAGTAAAAAAAAAAAAGGGAACTTGTGAAATTATAACTGAAAGGTATTCTGTATATTGTTGGATCTTAAATGAGAAATAGATCTTTGGTAATTAGAGTGGTTTAATGATGGAATAGATGTAAACATGTATACAATGGCAACTTCCATTTTAATTCAGACTTTACACAGTTCCCTGGTAAACGCAAAATGTACAAATCTAGAAATAGCCAAAAATGCAGTTGAGACTTTTTGTATGTGGATTTTAATACACATTTAATTTTATAATTTTTTTTAAGTTATTTAAATTTATATGTGATCTTTTTCAAGACCGTTCGGTAAATCGGTGGCATACATTGCCTAGTTTAATTTGTGTAACTACAAAAACAAATTTTTTAGATTTTTTTTTTTTAGCAAATTAGGTGTTATTTTGGTGCAAAGAATAAACAAAAAGAATAAAAAAAATAGAACAAAGAATTGAACTTACATGTGAAACCTGAAAGAGGATAAGCAGTACCATAATTTTTTTTATTTTATTTTTAAATCAGCCGCCACAGGTTTTTAAGTAACAATGACTTCTGCTGGCTTAGATTTAGAAGTGTTGTGGTAAACTTGCCATATAGCAATGTTTGGACACCCTGCGATAAACTGACCTGTTTTCAATATAGTAATCCTTCATTCATGTCTCCTTTGTGTTAAACACCTAAGGATTTAATAAACAATCAGTGAATTGTGTTTTGTTGAGAAGAGAGTTGAAAGCTATAAATATATATTAAAAAAGGACATGCTGTTTTTTTTGATATTCCCAATTCCAAGTGTAAATAAATTCGGAGTTTACTAAAGAAACGTAAACACTTAGCACCTAAACATCTGCCTACATGTTTAATTAGGTTTCCTTTTATTTTGATTATTTACCATTAAAATTCTAATGTATGGAACATTGGATGACTACTACCACAGGACTCAAATTTGCCTTTATCCAAGAGGGTTCCCAATGTTTGCCCTTTACCAACTGTTATGCTACAATCCCCACAATACTACATCAGCTGTTGGCAACAGCAGCTAAAAGACCAGAGCTATGTTCTACCAGCATACTGCTTGGAACTGCCAAAAAGGTTCCTATAGAGATAAATACTACGCACAGCAAAGTATCTTTTACACAATCTTACATTTTATATTCTATTAAAAATAAACCAAACAAACTATGGAGACTCTATATAATATATATATATATATATATATATATATATATATATATATATATATATATATATATATATTATATATATATATATATATATATATATATATATATTATATATATATATAGAGTCTCCATAGTTTGTATATATATCTATATATCTTTTGAATAGGATGACTATTAACTAAAACACTAAAATAAATTGTAATGTTTTTGAAAATATAAAAAAAAAATAAAGGAGTTTAAATTTTTTTTCTCTTCAATTTATTTCAAAATTTTTATACATTTCTGGATTAGATTAGGAAAATGATTTTGAAATAGTTTGTATTGATAAATAACAATATCCACTGTAATTTCTACTTTACTTTAGGTTAAGGGCGGAAATTTTCCAATAAATGAAATATGTTGCCATAATTTTCCAGCTACTGTCTTTTGTCGAGAAAATGTCACTCTCTGCTACTTGGTTAGATACCCTGATATTAGTTATATACTCTGGTAATTTGGCATCTTGTCTGCTGGACTAATACGGCTAATCCAATCTACACTATATAACTAATATATATATATATACACACACACACACACACACACACATACACACACACACCTAGTAGAGAGCACTCTGGAGTCTTGGTGAAGTAAATTCAAACTGCTACTTCATTAAGCAAACACAGCGATTAACACAATAGTCGACGTTTCAGTCTATGCAGACTTTTTTCAAGACGTCTTGAAAAAAGTCTGCATAGACTGAAACGTCGACTATTGTGTTAATCGCTGTGTTTGTTTAATAAAGCAGCAGTTTAAATTTACTTCACCAAGACTCCAGAGTGCTCTCTACTAGGTATATATATTTTGGTTGGAGATTGTGCACCAGAGCACAAAAAGACCGGGAACATCGAGTGCTGGGACCTGGAACTATATATATATATATATATATATATATATATATATATAATATAACGCCAAGGTAGCTAGAACATTAGGACATAACCTAAACATCATAATAAACATTATGACGTTACCTAAAGTTTGGTAGCTAGAACATTAGGACATAACCTAAACATTATAATAAACATAACCTAAAGTTTGGTAAAGCGTATGGTTATACCATATGCTTTAATGGGAAAATGATAGAAATTAATAGGTGACCAATTCATTAAAACTAAGAGTTGCATCACTGTCTTGAGATGTAAACAAAATCAAGTATAAAGCTGATGGATATTGCCTGTGGATATGGCCAGACTAATTTATCCAAATGTATCCATCCTATTTTTTAATAAGTCACCTGCAATTCCTCAGAACAGCCTTAAACCTGGCCACACCCCTAACACGAATCTGTCCCTGTTTGTCTACTTGAAATGTTTGGAGGTATGTACCTGTGTCAACTATATAATTATATTGAGTTATGTACTGGCTTGGGAAGTAAATTGAATAGTTACATCATACTAGGAAGCAGTACATTTTAGTACTTTTGAATAGCCTAGTGTGTTTCAATACACTGCATAATAAAGAGGCTATGTTGACTTGGTTAACTCAGGTAGCAAAACAGATTCATGAGCTATTTGTGTTTCCTAGCATCATACTGTCTTTGCTCAAGACATTTTTGATTATGGTACTTAAATCTTGTTTATGGGCGCTTTTTTGTTTTTTGCTTAATTAAAAATGCACAATTTTTTGTATTATAACTAAAAGCACCTATCCTAATATAACATTTTTATGCAAACATTTCATATAAAGATACTTTAGTTTGATATTTTTTAAAGGAATCACATTTCACTGCATTTATTCTGGTACACAAGTAACACATATCAATTAAAAAAAAAAATATACATGTATATGTCAAAATTAGAAGACTATTTGCAATGTCCTTCAGTTGTGTGGTTATAGTAATGCAGTAAGACAGGCATTTTTATTTATTCAATAAACCTTGAATTGCGGACAATTAACTTGGGGATTGGACATTTTATGCCAAAACATTTTTTCTTTAATTTATTTATTATTATTATTTTTTTTTTTTATGTGGACACTACTTTTTGTACATTGCTATGCTGGCTCCTATGAAATGATCTGTAGTAATGAAAAGTAGTTTTTCATATTTACCTGCACACAAATAAAAAAATAATTTTTTTTAAAGGAATCCACTTGCACTGCATATATTCTAGTACACAAGTAACCGACACCAATAAAAAAAAAAAAATATGTATATGACAAAATTCACTTATTTTTATTTAAGTGGGCAGGTACATATGGAAAAACTACTCATTACTGCAGATCATTTCATATGAGCCAGCATAGCAATGTACAAAAATGTAGTGTCCACATAAAAAAAATAATAAAAAAATAAATAAAGAATGTTTTGGCATAAAATTTCCAATCCCCATGTTAATTGTCCACAATGCAAGGTTTAATGAATAAATACAAATGCCTGTCTTACTGCATTACTATAACAACACAACTGAAGGACTTAGCAAATAGTCTCCTAGTTTCCAATCTCGGCACTGTCTTAAAGGAACACTACAGTCACCTAGATTACTTTAGCTAAATAAAGCAGTTTTAGTTTATAGCTCATTCCCCTGCAATTTCACTGCTCAATTCACTGTCATTTAGGAGTCAAATCACGTTGTTTCTGTTTATGCAGCCCTAGCCACACCTCCCCTGGCTATGATTGACAGAGCATGCATGAAAATAAAACTGGTTTCACTTTCAAACTGATGTAATTTACCTTAAATAATTGTATCTCAATCTCTAAATTGAACTTTAATCACATACAGGAGGCTCTTGCAGGGTGTAGCAAGCTATTAACATAAGAAAATCTTAATTAAACAGAACTTGCAACAAAGAAAGCCTAAATAGGGCTCTCTTTACAGGAAGTGTTTATGGAAGGCTGTGCATGTCACATGCAGGGAGGTGTGACTAGGGTTCATAAACAAAAGGATTTAACTCCTAAATGGCAGAGGATTGAGCAGTGAGGCTGCAGGGTCATGCTCTATACACCAAAACTGCTTCATTAAGCTCAAGTTGTTCAGGTGACTATAGTGTCCCTTTAAGTGGACCGCTAACCCATCCTACCAAAATTTGGAACTCGCAGTGAAGGAAGCTTAAAAAGTTCCAAACTTTATCCAGGGACATGTCACAATAAACAAATAACTACTTATTGTAAAGTATGCCAGAATAAAGTTTGGAACTTTTTAACCTTCCGTTGCTGTTGCTGCCCATTCCCAATTTTGGTCTTGACTGTATTACTAAAAGTCATACACTTATGTTCACAGTAAATCCTTTCCAATAAAAAAACAGGTGTGAAATGAAATGTCATTTGGGGCGTTTAGTGTTGGGATGGTTTGGGAGATGAAAGTGTATATGTACAGACCTGTGGTTTGATATAATATAATTGTACAGCACATATGCCACTGTACTTGAAATATACTGACAATCTGAATGGATAAATATCCTTTAAGGTTGATTGCTAGTATATCCAATTTAAAATCAGGATATGTGTCTCTTCTACAGGTATTTATAAATGTTTAAGACCATACTTAAGTGGTTCTAAAAGCTTGAACTCTTATTAAAAGAAAAAAAATGAATTATTATGGAATACAATATAAGTATTGATATCTAATAAAAGTAAACAAAATGTATTTCATGAAACAGAAATATTAGACCATTACTTTTTATCCAGTACAGTAATCATGCTTTTAAAGAAGAGTTATATATTCCCAACTGTTTTAAGCCCAGATTTAACATGGACAGTAGTGATAGATAGGGTTATCGATAAATAAATGATAGCCAATTTGAGTTTGCATTAGTTATATGGTTTAACAACTTGAAGAGAGAAAAAAAGAAAACTTAATATGTCTTATTTACTTTTTCTATTAAAATGTATGTAGTTACATGTAACAATATAACCTTGTTTAATAGATATAGAGAGATGCTATAATGATAGTGTTGAGTTTACTAACCACCCTATATGAAAGCATTTTACTAAAAATAAAAAAAGAAGCCGCAATATTATTAATGAAATGCTAAAAAGAGAGTTTTGATTCAGATTAGTGATTAAAAAAAGACCAGTTTGGTGAAACAAAATATATCCATTTGCACAATTATTGGCTCCCACCTATGATGGGGATTGTCTGAAGACAAGTAAACCCTTTAGAACAGGCATCTCAAACTAACTCCCCAGATAATGCTGGACCACAAACCCGTAGTTCTCCAGCCATCTATCGTATACAAGGGAGTCTTTGGGCAGAGTTTGAAGTCCCTGCAATAGACCATAAGACTAGTAGGGGTTATACATTGCGATGTAAGCTTACATTTTTGCCAAAAAAATTGTTAAAAAAGTAAAATAAAATTTCCATGTCCATTACTGGTTAACATACACATAAATACCTGCCCACAACCCATTTCATGCTCTAAATCAGGTATGTCATCTCATTCAACTAATTCTTATTATTATTTTTGTATTGTTTAATCCATATCTTCATCCCAGATTCAAGGAATAAATAGTGGTTATGGTCACTAAATGGTTTACAGAAATAAAAAAAAATAAAAAAATATGAAGGACAGAAATATAGGTTAAGTTGCACTACTATATGAAATCCTAAATATGTACACTGAAAACATTTTGGCATATTGACATAACCACAGGAAGTGGTGTATTATAAATTTGGGGAACAAAAACAAACAGCTTACACCAATGCTGCAGAGTTCTAAATAATAAAGTGTAAAATATCCCTTCATTATACTTAATAAGATCTATCTATTTGTGGGGTAGATTGTTGGCATCTTTGTTTCCATGGGAGCAAATGCACATAAACTTAAATGTACTTAAAAATTAAGTGGTTGCTTGAATTTAAAATCTAGTACCCATATGATCGATTTCCTCTAAGCTGGCAGTATGAGGATAATGGAAGCTTGGCAAATTAACAGAATAATCCAGTGTTTTACCTGCACCTCTTGCACAACATCACTTTGGGACTCTAGCACTTGCAAGTGATCAACATTCTAGATCTTAAATATTGCCACACATATAATTTTACATTTCAGTATCCATCTGTTCAATGGCACACTGTGACCAGTGGGTTTAAACAATATAAATGTTATTGCAATATCGCTCATTGATCACATACAATATGTCAATCATTTATGTTAAACCAGAGTGCTTTAGTGTGCACAACTAAATAATGTTAGACTTACATGCCTCATAGTAAACTTTCTCAAATCACAGTTTTTTTCGTAGAAAACTTGCAAGGACCTTTTTCCGTACTATATGTTCGATTTCAAATTCAGCAACTTTTCTTTGAGAAATTATTATATTTACCTACAATTTTCAGTCTGCTTTTCCCATATTCAACTACAAAAATTAAATCGCAAGGGCCAACATTTTTAACCACTGACCTATATAAGCAATATAAATATAAAACTAATTCAAAGTTAGGCAGTGATTATTTTGTTTTTAAGGATTAAAACATATTTAAAAAAGTAATCTGCAACAAGCAGTTCTGAGAAACTCTACAATTGGCATAAGTAATGTACAGATACCATACAAATGTGATGTTAATGTTTGTGTCCAGATATTATATCATTTTTGTAATTTTCTAATATGGCGATACAAAGGTATGTGGAACTCAATGTGACAATTTTTCTCCCAATTTTCCAAAACACAAGGATATAATGGCATATGTGACACTGATAAATAATGAAATACAAGAAACACAAAGCTCGATTAAAAGGATTCATTATAAAAAATTGGTTTCGCGTTTAATTAGCGGTACAATTTTAAAAATCGGCAGCTTAACCCAAGATAAATGTGTGCGTATGGATTATGGGTTTACGGAATGTGATGTCAGGTCTGAAGGCGGGGTAGGCAGTAACACTGATCAAATAGTGCAAAGTCAGGGTAAAGTGTGGATTATGGCATGAGATCAACAGAGGCCCGAATGCTCAGTAGGATACCATTAAGACATAAAATGGCAAAAAATAAATATCAAAATTTTTTCTTATCAGTGTAGAAAAGTAATTGACTTATTGTATAACCTATAGTCTTGCAAAAAAAGGCCTCAGAAAGTCCACTATTTCAGAAGGTCAGAAGTTTTACAAATGTAGTGCCTTTTTTTGGGGTCCATTTAAACCAGTGACTCCATGCTTTGTGATGGGTCCGATTCGTCACTGACCAGTGTGGCTCCGTTTTTATCCAATGAAATGGGTCCATTTCCGTTCTCCTTAGTACTGATCAAGCTTAGCATTGCCTTGTAGAGGAATTGGTACTGCTCCTAAACAATAATAAAATATAAAATCCAATTAAATAAATGTCGTGTTCGTTTAATATATAAGCAGGTGAAGTGAATATCAGCAAAAGAAACATGCATGGCTAGCTTTGCTTTACTGATTACCCCAAACATTTTGTTTGTTTTTTTACAGAATATCTGATAATTTTTGGGGGTAGTAAACCCTTTCCATTTTGAGATAAATGAAAGCATGTTGAAACAATTGATTCAGCTAATTAGATAATGAAATATAAATCTATTTTGTGTCTCTTGTTTTTCATTGTATCATGGTTTGCTTCCCTACAACCAAAACATTCTTGGGTTCCCATATCATTAAAAGGTTTTTCTGTATAAGAAGCATTTGATTGGACCTTTCAAAGACACCAAGATGTCAGACAAGATGTGGAGTCCAGAGGAGAGCTTTGCCCAGTTCCATGCTCCAGTTAAGTTATTTTAGTTTTCATGGACTTTAATAAAACTGGGTGGGGGCATTCAAAATAGGTCCAAATGAAACCTTATAAATAAAAAAATAAGTGTTAAAAAAAAAAAAAATACAGTAACCCTTAAAACATTTCCTGCTCTGGTAATAACAGGCATGGCAGCTTGTGGTAATGCCTTGTTTATATCTGTGGGTAAACTTAACTCTAGTCCACAACAATGTAAAAATCCTAGATTTAGTTGAA